GATGTCCAGGTAGTCGCCATCGCCCCTGAACAGACGGCCGTGCCCGCCCCCCAGCCGCCCCCACTCGCCCCAAAAACACCCCCAAAGGGGGCCCCCCGGACAGAAAAACCCCCGCCCCCCCCCCCCCCAAAAAAAAAAAACCCACAAAACACAAAAACAAAAAAAAAAGAAAAAGGCACGCCAGAATCGCTTGGTTGCGGATTTGAAGAAGCGCTCCGCTCTCAAACATCTGCAACACGTCCTGCTGCCTGCGCGTGAAGTTCGGCTTTGCCTGGCCAGCCTGGGCAGACAGATATAGGGAAAGCAGCTCCCCCTCGTTGTAGCGCGCGATGGCCTCGGCCTTCTGGTGGTGCAGCCGGCGCCGCTGTTGCCGCAGAGCTTCCTCGGGAACTGCTGCATCACGGCCCTCACTGTGATCAGCTTGCAACGCTTGCGATAGCCAATCAACGTCGAAGCGCCCTGAGAAGGCCAGCACCTCCCAGATCTGTTTGGTACCGGCCACACGTTGCAAATGGCGATGCCACCGCTTACGCTTCTGGTCTTTCACAAAATTGGCGACGCTACCCAGACCTGCACCCTTGGCCCGGCCACCTTTTCCCGCAGGCTGAGAAGCACCGTGAGAACCTTTCTTACCGCCTGGCCCTTTGTTCGGACCCTGCGGAACCGCATGGCCCCCTTGTGGCGCAGACTTGCCTTTCGCTTTTCCCTTTTCGATATCCCGTTCCTGAAGCGCACGCTGCTGCCGAGACTGCTCGTACTGGTCGCGAGCTACTCTGACCAATTCCTGGCGCTCAGGCTCCGTGAGAACGTAGCGCATGTCGTCGATGTTCTTGCTCCGCAGAAAGTCATGTCGAAGCTTAAGGACAGAGAGAATGGCTCGGCCAGTCTCCTCCTGAGACGCAAAGGCCGTGTCATATTTCGAGCCAGGCTGAGGAGCGCCAGCTGGATTAGTGTCCGCTGGCTCCGTGGACTTCCTCTTTTTGAAAAGCAAGAGACTGAGATGATGGAGGACTTTCGGATCGTACTCCTCGTCGTACCTGTCGTCCCAAAGCTTCCTCAGCTCCCTGTGCAAGTCGTCCGCGCGATTCTGAGCGACATCCTCGACGTAGTCGGGATCACCCGGTGAAGTCGGTGAAAGCGGAGGAGCAGAACTCGGCGACCGATCCCAATGCACAGAAGACTCGCGGTCCGCCTGTACGCTGACGTCGGCGTCGGAAACGTTTTCGACGACAATTTTCCGCCTCTTGCTCTCCCCAGGCTGAATAGCACCAGGGAGAGTGAGCACAACCGCCACCGCATCGTGTGCGTCGTTGCGCATGCCACGATCCGTAAAAGACGCGCCAACGGCAATGGAGCAGAAACGGTCGACTGCTCCGCAGACCGCGACGTGGTCGCCTTTGAGGTCGGCCGGAGTGGCATGGACCTCCCAGACCTTCTCGTCGTTCTGCTCGCGCTGGTAAGCCTCCCGCGCCTCCTGGAAAGTGAGGTTGTCGTCGCCGACTACAAGCACAACGACTGCCTCGTTTAGATTCTCAAGAATCTTGGCCAGGCCGTCCAGGTGCATGCGGAGATGGCGAACTGTCCGCTTTCGAGTCTGGATGCTCGGCGGTTTCTTGCCGCACACGATGTGCATGTTGGCGATCACCACGTGGAACTTGTCATGGCCTGGTTTGTTCACCACAAAATGTGAAATAACAGCATCAATATCTCGGCCGCTAGGAGGCCTGTAAACTTTGCTGTCTTCGCACAGAGTCAGTTCCGCAGGCTGAGAAGCACCGCGGAACCCCCAGAGAGTCAAGTAGTTGTCGACCTCAAAGAAGCGAATGCCATCACCGAAAGGCTTACTGAGGATGTCTGTCACGTTGATCCCTGCTCGGCGAAAGCCTTCACGGAACGCACCGACCTCGCAGCCACAGACCATATCAGCATCAGCGGTCTCCACTATCTTGGCGCACAACCTTCCGAAGTTAGCGCGGTGAGTGGCCGCCTGCTTACCAGTCACCATGCCCTGCTCGAACCCGAAATTGAACGAGGCGACCGTGAAAGACGCAGGCTGCACAGCGCCAGAGCCAGGCGTCTGTCCACCTTCCTCCGCAGGCTGAGAAGCACCGCGAGGCGGCGCAGGCTGAGAAGCACCGCGAGGCGGCGACACTTCGGACGAGCCTCGCGGAGCAGAGGCTGCGGATGAACGTTGGACATGGGGGTACGGCCAGGGGAACGCCATTGCAATCGAAACTCAGTGGGCTGCAGTGAATGAATGCAGTGGCACGATTGAATGCAGTGGACTGCAGTGTCACTAGCAAGTCCTGAACCAAACACGGCTGTGGCGGAAGGATTATGAAGCGTCTGGCTATTCAAATTGTGGCCCGGGAATGGAGTTCTGGGAACTCGAAGACCAGGAAGTGGACTAGAGTTGGCTCCGGGCATCCAAAATGTGGCCCGGGAATGGAGTTCTGGGAAATAGAAGAGCACGAAGTGGCCTACAGTTGGCTCCGGGCATCCAAAATGTAGCCCGGGAATGGAGTTCTGGGGAATCGAAGAGCACGAAGTGGCCTACAGTTGGCTCCGGGCATTCAAAATGTGGCCCGGGAATGGAGTTCTGGGAACTCGAAGAGCACGAAGTGGCCTACAGTTGGCTCCGGGCATTCAAAATGTGGCCCGGGAATGGAGTTCTGGGAAATAGAAGAGCACGAAGTGGCCTACAGTTGGCTCCGGGCATCCAAAATGTGGCCCGGGAATGGCGTTCTGGGATGTCTCGAAGCGCACTTTGTGTGTGACTGTTGCATCCGCCCCCCAGATGTGGCCTGGGATGGATTTGCTGGAAGGCGAAAGAGCACGAAGTGTTTGACTGTTGGTGAAAAACGAGCCCGGCTCATGCCGCCCGGAAACGCCCCAACACCTGCCCGGACCCCCCTGTGGAGTGATCTGTGAGCTCTTTTGAGTCAACTAGAAACCTATCAGTCTTCGCTGTTAGGTAAAAACACAGGGCTTCGTAACACGGATTTTCTATCAAAGCTTACGCGCGCGCTCTTGCGAAATCTTAAGAAAACATTTTTTTTATTATTTCCGTGAAATATTACCAAACGGGCTTCGCGCGCGCGCGCATGTCGAAATCGTTCGAACGCCCTTGCGCGCGTGCCGTCGCGAGAATCCTTTGCAAAACATGGGACGAAGTGCACGCGCCCGTCGTCACGCGCGCATGCCGAAATCCTGCAAAAACCTTCGGTTAACGATTTTCTTCTGGTTGGTTACTGGTTTGCCCGACTACGGATATGCTCAAAATTACCGACTCTTAGTTTGTATGTGCGGTGCGCCGTCGACTGGGGATTGCTTGCGTTCTTGACGGGTCGGACGTACATGGCCACGGACGCCTGGCTAACGGGACAGGCGGGGGATGGCAAGGCCGCCACAGTGAATTGATGGCGGCATGGAGGCAAATTTTCAGGGAAGTTGGGGGCCAGGTACCTGACCGTAACATCGAACGTTACCTACACATTACCAACATACCAGTGCCTCCGAGGGACATGCGCCGACTAGATATTGTTGTCACCTGCACGAACGCGGCGAGAGGGCTTCCACTCTTCTGCGACGTAACAGTGGTGAGCCCCATAACTGCGAGAGGTCGGCCAAGAGGGGGGACGAATAACAGAGGAGGAAGCCTATTGGAGAGAGCGCAACGGGAACACGACACCACCTACGCTGAAGGATTTCACAACCGAGCGTCCAAACAACATTCAAAAACGCAGGATTTCACAACACGTATTTTCAACAAAGACGTGTGCACGCGCTCTTGCGTCGTCGTCGTCGTCGCCGTCCCTCCTCCCTCGTCGTCGTCGTCGTCCTCTGCCTTTCCTCGTCGTCGTCGTCGTCCTCTTTGGCGTCGTCGTCGTTTCCGTCGTCGTTGTCGCCGTGGTCGTCCTTCTTCCTCCCTCGTCGTCGTCGTCCGTCGTCGGCGTCTCGTCGTCGTCCCTCCTATTTCGTCCCCGTCGTCGTCGTCGTCGTCGTCGTCGTCGTCGTCGTCTTCCCTCCTCCCTCGTCGTTGTCGTCGTCGGCGTCGCCGTCCTCCCTTCTTCGTCGTTCGCGTCGTCGCCGTCGTCGTCCTCCCTCCTTCCTCGTCGTCGTCGTCGTCGTCGGCGTCGTCGTCGTCGTCTTCGTTGTCGTCGTCGGCGTCGTCGTCGTCGTCGGCGTCGTCGTCGTCGTCGGCGTCGTCGTCGTCTGCGTTGTCATCGTCGTCGTCGTCGTCGGCGTCGGCGTCGTCGTCGTCGTCGTCGGTGTCGTCGTCGTCGTCGTCGTCTTCGTCGTCGTCGTCGAAGTCGTTGGAGACGCCGTCGGTGTCATCGTAGTCGTTGTGGGCGGCGGCGTCGTCGTCTTCGTTGTCGCTGCCGTCGTCGGCGTCGGTGTCGTTGCCAAGTGCCATTTGGTACCTGCCTTCACGGTCTTAAGAGGGCGTGCGACCAAGTTGCGGGTGGGAGGGTGGGATACTTGCACGAGCGGTGGGGAGGACAGCTTCAAGTTGAGCAAGTGATTGATTGCACCACTTAGATTGCACCGCATTGCAAGGCATTAATTGTCGTTTGGGGTCCACGTGGGCTAACATATCTTACAGTACGATTTCGCAACATATGCAGCAGTGTACTAACGCGTCCTCGTCCTCGTCCTCGTTCTTCCTTCGTGTAGTCCTCGTCATGCCTTCTCGCACTCACCACGTCTTTTTGCGCCCCTTGACCTCACTCCTCGTACCCTTCACCCTCGCTCCGCGTACTCATCGCACTCACCGTCCTCACTTATCGTGCTCATTGTCCTGACTCCTCGTGCATCTCGTCCAGACTCCTCGTGCCCCTCGTCCTCACTCATTGCTCCCTTCGTCTTCGGTCCTCGCACCCCTCGTCCTCACTTCCTGTGCCCATCGTTCTTGCGACATGCATTCCCCGTGCTCGTTCCTGGGACTCACCGTCCTCCCTCCTCGTTCTCTCCCCCCATGGCGGCTCCCCCTTTTGGAGGCCCAAGTGCGGCTCCTGCTTCATCGTGGTGGTCATGTGACTGCGAAAAGACATTCGTCTACTGGGTCCAAGCGGGCGGTCTGCTCGAGACGTCTCCGCAATCTGGGCGCGACCAGTCTCTGATGCACGCCTCGGCGGCTTGTCTATCGGGAGGGCCAGCTGCGATTC